TGTGAAAGGATCCCATTTAATGATTTAAACAGTCAATAAATTTACCCTATTTTGTCTCTATTTTTGTGTACACTTTCACCCAATAATAAGGTTGATATTATTTAATAAGTTTATTCCTGCTGTAAAAGCAGCAACCGAGGTATTTACATATAGTTATCATTATTATTTTTTCAATATTGCTATAGCTATCAAAATTGTTATAGCTACAGTATCATTATTATTATTAATTTCATGCATTTAATTTCATTATTATTATATACTCTGTAGATGGCTTAATTTTAAACTAAACAGCACCAAGCATAAACAATAAATCCTCTGTACAGTACTACATCTATTTACAATTGCTGTCCTGTGCAGAGAAATGAGAAAGTAATTGTGTAGAATACAAATTACTGTACAGCACTATAGACCCAATTAACACACCCTCCTAATTATTGCACCTTTACATGGCTTCAATACTTTTAAAATTCTATTCCTATCTAAACAATATACATGTGTTTATTTTATGTTAATTAGGTCTTTTGTAAGGTACATTGGCATAATTATATACACTTGACATGTCTTCTAATTATAGTGAATCTGAGGATGATACCGCTGAGAAAGAATTTGGAGCAGTTGGAGATAAAGAGGAAAAGAAAGAAGAAGAAGGACTGGACAGGAACATGTGGGCACCTGAGGAAGATGAAGAAGAAAATAAGGTCAACACCATATTACTATAATATGTGTCACTTATTAGTGTCCTTTATGTAATGTAGGAGGAACTTAATAAAGAGTCTGGTGGTGGAACGTCTGAGGATAACGAAACCCACCTTGCTGCGAAAGACTCAGATTCAAAGAAAAGAGACAAAGAGGAGAATGAAGGAGAGAAGGAAGGAGAGAGAGAAGAGGAAGGAAGAGAGGATAATGATGAGGAACTTATCAATGATCAAGATGATTATTTTACAGCCGGGAATGATGCTCAGCAAGGAAATGAACAAGTAATTAGAGAGAATGGTGTTATAAAATTACGAATCAAGCCTGATTTAACTTTTATTTTAAAATGTATGTAAAAAGGCATGACAATAATTTGAAGAATTGTTATGACTACAATTAACTATACTTTTTAATTATTTTCCTTAGGAAGAGACAGAGGGAGATGGGGTACAAGAGGATTTTGGTGACATTAATCTTGACTCGGGTAGTGATATGGAGGAGGGTAATGAAGACGGTGAAGGAGAAGAAGAAATGGAAACTTGTAAGGAAAGTGAGTTCTCTGACGGTGAAGAAAAGGATGACAATAACAATGGCGACACAGAAGAAATGAGCAAAGAAGATGAAGAGGTACAAGAGTTACAGAATAGTATAAATATTTTTCTTCTTTCTCTCTCTATGTCTTCCATTTTTCTTTTTAGTGTTTAGAAATGGATGCTGATGGTATGACGTATACTTCTGATGACAAAATTTATGGAGTTCCTCAGTCTCAAATCGCACCCACTGAAGTAATGTTGATTAACAATGTAATACTTGATGTAACTTTATTTAGGAACAAAGGCAATCTAATACAGAGCCTGATGGCTCTCAGAAAGTAAAGAGATTTATGTAGTACTTATACAATTATAACGATAATTATTTATACCTAAAAAAAACTTAATGTTTAGCTTATTCTTTATTGTGTTTGTTTATAAACTATTATTGATGTTTAGGAAGAAGTCCAATCTTCATTAGATGCACTAGAAACAGATGGGACTGCTGATGATACTAATACTACTAGTTAGGGATTATTATAATGACAGTATTATTGTTTTATGTGTCTTTTTTATTAGCATCTAATCAAGGCAATATCTCTCAAATGAAAGGACCCAATAGAAATAGAAAGGTAATAAGATAAAAGGATTATAATTTTATTAATGGCAATCATTATTAGGAGTTGCAGAGATTAAGACAGAAGAACACATCACATAGTAAAGCTGATCCTGACAATATACCACCTGCTAAGAAACAAAAGATAATGGAAGGAGAGGAGAGACCTAATGAACAAAAGGTAGGAGTACTGAAATACAATACCAATACTATTGAGCATGTGGCCTGATGTATGTATTGTTGCTATTACAGAATAATTTGTAAATTAGCCTCTGTAATATATATAGTTTAAAATTAAATTTTTAATCAGTTTTTATTTTATGATCTGTTTTATAGGACACAAGTTCCAATCAGACAGATACAGACCTGTACCAGCATGTAACTGAGACCCAGTCCAGTGATGCTGCTGCTTGGGATACACTTAATGGAGTTGATGGTAGCAATGGACAACAACCAATAGGAGAGGATGAGGAGGGAGAGGATGGGAATGAAGAGAAAGGAACACTACCTACCAACGATGAAGTAATTAGTCATTGTAGTTGTTTACTCTAAAGTATCTTGTGTATGTTATCATTAATTGTTGCTCTTGTTGACTATTATTACCATTATTGTTCTTGTTTATTATGATTATGATTATTATTATTATTATTATTATTATTATTACCGTATTTTTATTATTATTAGGTATTAACATCACAAGAGTGTACCATCAAAGATAATAATATTGAGAAAGAAGCAGTCCTACAATATGATGATAGCATGGAGTCTAAAGAAGAAGAAGAAGAGAAGAACAGAAAAGATCAAGAGAGAGAGCTACCAACTGACAGCTACTTCAATACATCTAATGTAGGAATGGAATGGATACCTGGACAATTGGTTAGTAGGTTATGCATTGAGTAGATAGTGATTGCATAGTAGGACGAATCCAAATTGAGATTAATAGTACAAGAAACTGATGTTCAAAGACTTGAGCAATCCTCACGGGTAAAAGAATGAGAGAATTAATAGTAGCATAACAGGGCATAGTGCTCATAGCTTCTTGACAACTTGCTCAAAAATGAAGCCTAAGCCCTGTACTGTATAGTACAGGGTATTTCTGCAAAATTTGTGTGAAACCCAGAATAATAATTTATGTATCTTTTGTCTCCTTAAGTCACAAGAGAATGCTCAATTGTGGCTGCAGTATGAATCAATGATGTCCAGTTTGTCTCATTCATTATGTGAAGAATTAAGGCTCATACTTCAACCAACAGAAACATCCCAGCTAAAGTATGTGGTTATTACTTGTAAAATTATGTTATTATTTACACACATTCACTCTCAGAGGTGACTTTAGAAGTGGAAAGAGGCTCAATCTAAGAAGAATAATTCCATATATTGCCAGCAACTTTCAAAATGATAGGATTTGGTTGAAAAGAGTAAAACCGAACAAGAGAAATTACCAGATTCTAATAGCAGTCGATGATTCCTCAAGCATGAAAGTTAATGATTGTGATAAGGTACAGCTGTACATTTAATTAATAAAATAAACAATAAACATTAATTTTAGATGACATGTGAATCACTTGCTCTAATAAGCTCTGCATTACAAAAGTTAGATAGTGGGCAGTTGGCTGTGTGCAGGTAAGAATTAAGAAGATTATATGACTAGGCAAAACTAATAGTACTGTAGTTCACAAGTTATTCGTCATTCTCTTGTATAGCTTTGGTGAAGATGTTCAAGTTCTTCATTCATTTGAACAACCTTTACTAACAGCTAATGGTGGGCACATACTGCAACATTTAACATTCAATCAATCTACCACTAATTTTGTTAAAGTATATTCAACTAATTGTACCACGGACCCTTATTATTATCATTATAGTTGCTTAATTGTGCTGTGAGCTTATTTGGTCAAGCTTTATTAACACAACATAAAGTATCTGTTGGCATTAGTCAATTGATGGTAGTACTGTCTGATGGAAGAGGAGTATTTGGACATGGAACTCCAGTCAGCAAATAACATTATTTTAATATGCTTATCTTTTCTTTCTCTTTTCTCAATTTCTCTTTTTCTCTTAATACAGCCTGTTATGTCTAATATCTGCCAGTTAACAGAGATGGGAGTTTTTGTTGTATTTGTGATCATTGATGGATTAGGAGAGGTTAGAGTTTTATCTCAATCAGAATTCTATGTTTCTTTTACACACACACACACACACATGCTCTTTCCTTTAGAATTCAATTGTTGATATTAAAACAATAGCAAAGAGAGAAGTAAGAATATACTCTTTTTTATACATAGGATTTCATACATTCTTTCTTTTGCATAGCCTCTTGTCATAAAGTCATACTTGGAAACTTTCCCTTTTCCCTATTACATTGTACTAAGAGAGATATCAGCTCTACCTTCAGTGCTAGCCCAGTCACTGAGACAATGGTTTGAATTAGTGACTGCATCAAATAATTGAAGAGGTTTTGTAATTTTATTTATTTATCTTTATTTTAACAAATCTAATGACTTTAAATTATTGTAATAAGTAATGATTATAATAATTTCATTTTCCTGTGATTGTTTTGAGATGCTTCCCAAACAAAAATGTTATTCTTTCTGTGTGATTTTTATCATCTCTGTAATTGTATAAAAGAATAAAGTTCCATGCACTTCTTTGTTCATTACTGTCTCCAGACGGTTGTGTCTTATGATTATTGTCTAGCTTTCATACCTTTATTACTGGCATAATGCCTTTATTGTTATTGGTAAGTTCTGTTGTAAACATATTTGTGTTTTTAAATAACTCTTTGTAGTCAATTGTGTCCTTATTACTGGTCACCACTCAGTCACAGGAGATGAGTGTGTATTATGTCACGGCTACT